GGTGATGGACTGTTCAGCTGCAGTGGAGAAGGATTCACGCTGGGGCTTTCGGGCTGCCCGACGGAGCTGTGACCTGCTGGCGTTTGCTGGAGAAGCCTGTAGTGGGGATGTGCGGCGTGAGCCGTGAAGAGCGGGTCATAGGTGGAAGTTCCGGGGGTTGGAGCCTGGTGTCCAGGAATGAGCGGTGTTCGTGGACGGGTGGAGTGTAGGAGACACTCTGAAGAATCGTCTTTTTCAAGCATCGGCTTGAAAAATAAGGTTTAACCTTTGAAACGCGTCGCCGTCAGCCCGGTCTCCACGGTTCTTCAGAGTGTCTCCTACACTCCACCCGTCCACGGACACCGCTCGCTCCTTGACACCAGGCTCCAACCCCCGGAACTTCTACCTATGACCCGCTCTTCACGGCTCACGCCGCAACATCCGCACTACAGGCTTCTCCAGCAAACGCCTGCAGGTCACAGCTCCGTCGGGCTGCCCGAAAGCCCCAGCGTGAATCCTTCTCCACTGCAGCTGAACAGTCCGGCACCTCCAACCGCTCTCCAGCTCCCCCACCCAGGACAACACGTCGCTCTACCGGTCCACAGCACCTACCACTAGAGGACACCTGTGCCAGCACTCCTGAGGACCACCCCAGGGCCCACCGCCGCGGCACCACACGGGCCGCACCGCCATCGCTGAGAGCCGCCCTCCACTATCCCCACGGTGAGTCACAGAAGCCCAACCCTTTTTCACCCACCATTGCATACCTCACCCCCTCGCGTTTGTATCCCCATCTGCCTACTGGGTTGAAACGCCACGCCACCCTGAAAAAGAGGGACCACTACCACCACCACTCCACCCCATCCGCTTCACTGCAACCCGACGATTACAAGCGAATACTCACCCAGACTCAGGTGAGTACAACACTTACGCTTACACCCCACTCTACCACATTTATTGCGCTAGGTAGTGGCGCTTCCGTCTCCAATTTTTGTTTCCCTACAGTACACGTGTTGGACACCCCGGTCCAGACAGAACGGAAGCCGTACACCTACACCACCACCCCGTTTCCCCGCCCCCCGTACTTATACCTACCATACTACAAGCGTTAACTGGTGTACCCATCAAGTACTGCCTCCCTCCTCCGCAATTTCCCTGTACCTCTGATAAGCGCCATACAAGGGGTAAAACTCTCAATTTTTCAAAGGTATAGGGTATGAAGCAGAAGACGATGAGAGTAATCGGTGAATCAGCAGCCAAAGGTCGGTACACAGGTAGCAGTATGAGAGGATTGTATCACAGGAGGAGTAAGGAAGCAAGATATTGGCAGGAGCACAATAATCTGGCAAACAGGAAGTGCAGAGGCATGGCTTAAATAGGAAGTTCAAGGGAGGAGCAAGGAGTTCAGAGTTCAGCAAAAACTAGGTTCCAAGGTGGCTCAGCAGGCAGAACCACTGCCAGCCACAGTAGAGGCCCCGGGTTCAGATCCGGTTCCTGACATAGGCCTTCTGGGCAGTCACTCTGTGGAAGAAGATTGACTAGTAAGGTTTGGGGACCTTTCTTGGTTGACTCTTTTCTCCTTTCATATTAGCAGTCACAGTATCATCTCCATCCCTCTTTCCCCTTTTCCATTTACACAAATGTTCAACCACAGCTCCACATGACAAGAGTGTCTGAGTGCAGTCCAACTGTCTATCTGACCACTCTTGAAAATCTATAGGAAGTTTAAGCCCCAGTTTTTGTGCATGATGACACTACCCAACTCTATATGTTTAGTCCACCATGGACATTGTCAAATGTTTGACAAAGCCCTTGGTAGACGGAACACATTGAACAGTTTAGCAATGTCATCACGCTGCACGCTGGCTTGGTTTCTCCTATGGAGGCTGGTTTGTGCTTTTAAAAGTGCTGATTCATGCGAATTCCCTGTGGGGAATGTTTCAACCTTTTAAATAATAAAATACATTGTAATTCTACAGGTGGCTTCTGCTTTTTCGAGGATACATTCTATCTATGGATAAGCTCCACTAGAAATAATTGGATCAAAAAAATCAACATGTTTTTGGGCTGTTTTATGACCATCGGAAACAGAGGGAGCAAAAATAAGTGCAGGTAGACGTTCTAGTGATAGAGGTTTCTCCTGTTTGGTGAGTTCAGATGTCACCTGATAGCGGTGGGTATTGTGCCTGGTCTTTACAAGATCGTTATTTCATCATCACTTTGCATGGATTATAGACTTTGTTGTCCTGTTTATGATATCTTGATTTAGGTTTTTGTTTATTTAAGATTAGTGCTTATATTAATTACACTGTGTGTATCATGGACCTTATGACCATGTTTTTGTATTCGTAATGGGAAGTATCTTCTGTTTTAAGGCTCCATTTACACAAGTCACTGTGGGATTCTGCCACAACAATTGTCCCCGTTCAGATGCAGCCGCTGTACACACTGAAGTTGATTGACCGGGTAAAAGCAGCCACATGTGTCAGCGGTAGTCCACATGCAACAGTACATGGTACGATTAGATGTAGGACAAAAAAATAATATTGAGTTTGTTACAATAGATGATCAATCAGTGATCTATATCAAAAGATCCTGATAGCCGCACAGTGGCAAATGAAACAAACGAAAAGTTTTTATCGACATCTCCAGCACTGCAGAGATTAAACTCCCTCCTACTTGTTATCATCTTAATTTGTCACGATTTTTTCACATATGTGTTACTTTTATTTTTCCGGCCTTTTGTGACACAATTTAAAACTAGATATTCATTGATATTTAACACTTTAGTTGTCAATTTTTTTTTTTTTTTACATTTGCTATATAACAAATTATGTTGGATTTTGTTTAACTCTTTATAAGCTGTGCTAAACACGCATCTTTTCTACACACTTTTTTATGTGAACACTTGATTTAATTTAATTTATTTAATGTAATCACGGATTACACGATTACACTTTTGATCAACTCAATTATTTCAACCTTCAGCGCTGTGACACAACTCTTTCATTCAATTTAAGGAGATCTTCTCCTTTACCACATAGCTGCTTTAGGTATTATTATATTTATATATATTTATTAGTTCCAGGGGCGCAGATTAACTATTTCTTTTTACGATTAGATGCAGTTTGGGATTGATGACTATCCCTGAAGGCAGGATACATCATGTATGCCAAACTTCATGTAACTGTATCTTGTATGATGACATCTCTGCACATGTAGAGGGCACTAATAGGAAGGGCAAACAAATGGAAAAGTATCTGCATTCTACATGACTACACCTCCGGTACATTGCAACTCACACTTTTTAAACATCCTGTTTTCCAAAACCACAACAGCTTCAAAATCTTGCCTCCCTCTTACATGCTTTCTCTTCCAATCCTCACAATTACAGATGCACCGATATGTTTGGCCGCATAAACATTTGGGCTAAATGCCGAACGTGCCATTTTTCTGCCAATATAGTGATGCATCCATGTATCCTCTCCTCCCCACTGGGCGCTGCTCTGTGTCACAGCGGGGAGGACAGGAACTGTCACAGGCTGCCAAGCACTGTGAGCGGCCGGCGTCTCTCGTCCCCGCACCACTCAGCCTCCTGTCACATATAAGAGGAGAGCGGTGCGTGGGTGGAGACAGCCAGCGCTGTCACAGGAGGCTGAGCTCTGCTCCTCGCACCGCTCGCTCAGCCTCCTGTGACAGCTGTCAGGAAGGAGAGCAGGTACAAGGAGTCAGTGATCAGTGAGTGTTTACAAATAATTGAGGATAGAGTATGGTTATTATATCCTCAATTAGGAATGAATGGGATGTGATCTACATCACCTCCTGTCCATGCACCTGACAGATGTGGCAGGGATCCCAACCTGAAATAAGTAATATCAGGGAGGTGCCCTTCTCAGTTCAAGGAGTTGCCCTCGTTCCTGCAACATCAAGGAAGAGAGCACCCCCCTGAAATGATGGCAGATAGCAAAGAAGCTAATGCTTCCTTTGCTATCTGCTGTTTCTTTAGTGTTCTGACAGCTGCTGCCATCAGGACATTAAAAAAAATAGCATAGGAACTAACAGCTAGATTGCTATTGGCTATTTCAATTTGCAATAGCCAATAGCAAGCTGGCTATTGTACCCGTCCCCTGCTGCTGTCAGTCAGCAGGGATGGACCTGATGGAGAACTTCAGGTCCACCTGTAGCCTAAAGCCTAAAATCGTTTGTGCTTTATTTGTCTTTAAGTTAGAACCCCGGTCAGGCTTTTATTGCTACCCGTGTCCTTTCTGTAGAAAATTCCTCTCACTTCCTGATTCCTGTTGTGTCTACAGGACAAGAGGTAAAGGGAAATCTCCCAAATGGGTCACAGGGAGGGTTATTAAATAGTATTTTCTTAGGATTAATTAGTAAACAATCCCTTTCAAATAAATGTATAGATATGCGGCCAGAAACACTTACTGGAGCGACTTTTCACTGCTGCAGGCTCCGGGTCCCTCAGCGCAGATTCCCCTGAACTTCTGAACCGCTGAAAGATTGATAAAAGATTCAGTGGCCTGCATTTTATGAATGGGCTGTAAAACCCAGGCCTGGGTGTTTAATCACACTGCAGGCTATTAAGGAGAGCAGACACTGGTATCCATTCTCCAGTATAAATCGGCCCCATAGAAATGAACTGGATGTCTGTTTGAATTTTCCTATAGTAAAGCACAGGCACTTCACTGCAGTAAAACAGACAGGTGCGCATAGGGCCTAGATATTCTTTGTTTCCTGTATTGTTTTTCTATATTGCGATAACATTACCATTCTCTTTTCCTCATCGCCCATTTCCCTTGATCTGCAAGTAGCGATCTGTGTACATTGCACGTCTCATTGCATGTACTGATATACAAAAGGAAACATATTTGAATACATGAGTCATGTTAATGAGTCCTTTTGTCTACTCCACTCTTGTCTACATCATAATAGTTGTAGAACTGGTTTCTTAGCATGCCTGAGATGTTCAAATTCAGACTTTGAGTGAATGATCATGCTGATTCCCTGGACTTAGCCGGACAGAGAGGTGTGTTGCAATCTGGCTTTTCTGGTTCCTCATAGTGATCCTGTGACACAATGTAGGTGGCTGCTGTGCCTTGATCCACCCATGAAGCTCACACTTTCTCGAGTCATGTGGGAGAGGCAGCTGCTGCTGGGGCTTCTGTGTCTGCTGCTATGGGGTGAGTTACTTGGGGGGTTAACATGTTACATGGTGACTGCCGCCAACTGTCCCTGGGTTCTAAAGACAGAGAAAAGCTTTTAGAGCTTTGTCATTAGGTAGGTTCCTGATAGGGAACTGTAGTTAGGTGCATTGTAAGACTTGCTTTGTTTTTATATTATACAATCCATTACTAGAGTCTTGTACTGTATATTTATATTAGAAAATATGTTCCTGTTCATGAACAGGTTAATTCATGCTAAGTGGCCTCTGAGCAGTTTATGGCACACTGGTGGTATTGATTACTGTCCAATCAGAATATATTTTAGCTGGGCATGTATCACACGGGTAGATGTGGAGACATAATAAAAAAAATGATCATTAAAACTAGTATAGGTTGAATGGACCCTTATCTTTATTCAGACTTACCTACTATGTTACTATGTAATACTGGGGGGCCTATGAGGCAAAGTGGAAACTGATCCTGGACCTCTGGGAGATTAGGAAGAGAGGGACTTGATCACGGACCGTTAGTAGAGGCAGAATGACAACTCATGATATCTTGAGGGGGAGGAGAAAGAATGTATGTATTTAATTAATTACATTAATGTATTTAATTAATTAAGTATTTCATTTAATCTTGTATGTTTTGAGAATGATGTGATTGCAGGAGCACTTCCTCTAGACTAGTCATTCCCAACCAGTTCCTCTTATACCCGACAGGTAGAAAACAGTACATCACTATAGTGGCATTGTCCCTGCACATTATTTTAAAATGTAGACAGCTATGCAGCTTTGTTTTAAAGTGAAAAAATGGTTCCAGCTACCGAAAATTAATATTGTCATTTCCTTTCTTCTCCTCTTTTCCTCTCTGAGCCTGCACTCATGCAGGATGGTGCATATCGAACTACTAAGGAAATCAGGAACCCATTAAACATGTATAGGAATACTTACAATCCGAATGACTTGAACATATGCATATGTTACTGATTGTACCCCCATGTTTTCTATCCTTGTAATGTCCTATGCTTCAAAATTTAATAAGCTAGCCCATAACAGCCCATCTGAATATTTCTTTTACAACGTGCAACAAAACACAGAGCAGGCGCCACCTCCTAGTGCGGTATGTTTACTGACCAAATGAGGAAATAAAAGAGTAAAAAGGTTCTACTCACTATTCCTAAAAGAAACCAGGCATATCAATAACATAGTCTGATGATCCAAGATTGCTGTATAGTGGTAGGTGCACCCCAACAGGGGGGATGTGCTAACGCGCTTCGGGGTAACCAACCCCTTCCTCGGAGCAAGACCTTACCCTCTATATGCCACCATTCCACAATTCCTACAT